AACATCTCTAAAAAGCAAGGGTTCCTTTTATGGGACAGAAATATCCTCGTTAAACGTAAATGTCATAAATATATCGTTGAAAGTTTTTTCTCGAAACCGTGCTCCTCGAATTGGTTCGCCATGAGATCTCAAGAACGAATGCACCGATCGACTTCAAACTTGACACACATATAAACTAGATACCAGCTTATCGTTTGTGCCAGAACGAAGTCGATGTTTGCAACAGTTTTTTTTCTCGAACGTGTTTTTATGCGATAAAATTAAAAAACTGATATTCTTCCTTCGATGAAACTACCCTCTCGTCGAACTATATTTCGTATAATTCGGGATACAATATAGCGAGGTCGCAAATTAAACTCTTGAGGGTTGGGACCGACTACTGCTGCTGTAATTGCACTATCTTTTTTCATTTTCTACATGCATACATTATAAGCAGGTAAATTAAGATATTAAAGACTTGAGTAAGACCTTTACCCGTTACGATACCTCTAAAAATAGCTTTCTAAAAATGGCGACCCTAGATAAAACATTTCTTCGTACGGGCCTGACTATGGTCTAAGCTGCCCTTAGCTGCTCGTATTTCTGTCAATTCACTTGTTTCGGGAGCTGAAACGTGTAAACTTAGACACCTACTCGACTTTACGACCTCGCTATATCGTGGCCCGTGCTATACATGTTATTCCGGTACGAATAGCCTAGATCAAAACGTCCAAGTCCACACGTCCGGATGAAAGGGGTAAAAATTGTACGTTTAACGAAAATAAAGAGCCTCGTTTTCAGTGTTTGTAGGGTTAACGCGAGAAAACGAGTAAAACAGAGAAAAGAAACATCGTCGACAATGAGCGCAGAGAATGATCTGTCGTTCGGTGTCTGGAAGGCAAATATCCGGTCTCCTCCACGAAAATAACGAAGGCTCGCGAACGTCACGGATGCTCCCGACGCGACTGCATCGCTGAAAGAGACCCGACAGGGGTTCGAGTGTCTCCGCTATTCTTTCGCGTTCTTTTCAAGAAGCTACGCGACCAGGTTCGACCGAATCGCCACGCTCGAGCGGATTCAACGCCGGCTGGTTAAGTGGCGGCGGTTCGAAAAACGAGAGCGTTAATTGCAAACGCGGTTAAGAGGTAAAAATGGGGGGAGGGGGGCATGAGTAAGAAGAAAAGAGGAACGGTAACACGTCGCCACCTGATCGAGGATCGAGAAAATGGTGCGCGAACCGCCCTTGAGGAACACTACCTTGCAACGAGCCCGCGTAATCGCGCAATGCCACGCCGTCGCTAATTATCCGCAGTTAATGCTGGCGAGAGCCATGAATATTCATACTTGACATCTTTATCGCTGGGAACAGAAATTGGAGTCGGTCGTACGAGGCACCAATTTGACCCACCTTCCACGAATCGATAGCCGTCGCGCCGCGATTAAGGAAATTACGGATACTGGCCTCGCTTCTTGCGCGTTAGGGATACAAACAACGCTCGTTGTCAGATCGTCTCCGTCGAAAGTGATTTAAAACAATTTTACGCGAAAAGCTAAAGTAAAACACGATGGCAACTCGACAGCTCGACGGTGACGAATGAATAGACGCCGACTCGAGTCGAATTTCGTGCCCAGTGCACGTTGTGTGCACCTGCCTGATCCACGAGCGACGATCGTACAAAGAATCTTTACTGCGTAGTGAAATCACGACCAGCGATTATTAGTTATTAGTAGAGCGGAATTAACGGTCCTGATTTTATAGAAAATACATTATCGAATAAAAGTAACTTCTAACGATGAAGAAGTCGCTTTCTATTTGCAAGAACCGCGCGAGCTCTTCGGCGAACCAAATATTTTAGTTTCGAAAACTCTTTCGGATTACCGATACAGGCGGTATTTGTTCTGTATTTAGCGGAGTCCTGAGTTAAAATCGTCCTGACTCGGATCTGGGTCAGTGGACTGTCAACGTGTTAAAAACCCGGCAGCTCGAGCTTCAAAGGAATACCGGCACGCGCATCGGTGCCACAGCCACTAATACAAGCTAAACGCTTTAAAACTTTTATCGAAGATCCGACTCGTGTTCTAAATTAATAACACAATATGAAGCGTACCAAACATACAGTTACCCACCCACTCGAATTCCCATATTATAACGGTGATTCGTTGCAAATGAAAAGAAACATGTCTCTTGTGAATTCTTGCCATTTTTAGCAAACTTTGTTACCTCTATTTACGAAGTAATTTCGTTAATATTAACAATACCCAATTACAAAACCGATACAGAGGTATAGTATATACAATAAAGCCTACTCTATACCGCAGTGTCACCCATCCCAGTACTAACTGCGTCCAACGTTGCTTAACTTTGATGGTCAAAGGAGAACCTGTGTTTTCAACGTGGCATATGACAGTTGACATATTTTGTTTCTAATTTATTGTAATAGTTTTAAAAACGACGACTCGATTCATAAGAAACAAATTTTTTTTTATTCATAGCGAATCACCATTGGGAAAAATTTTAATGGGAGATTTTAGAGGCCAAAATAAGACGGAAATCAAGAATACTAATTTGTTGATGGAGATTTTGTTAAAAAGTTATTAACGTTTAAAGTTCCGCCCGTACTGAATTTTTTTCTCGAAAATGCGCAGGATTTCGGGGGTATGTGTAATGACCAAAAATGATTGTAATTGACCCGCGTAACTGAAAATAATTTTTTCCAGAACGATTTGAAATTTTTTTTTCGCCGAAAAATTTCACATCTTCTCGAATTTTTTTCTCGAAAGTAGGTGGGATTTCGAGGGTATGTCTATTCACCAAAAATTATTGTAATCGATCCCCCTAGCTAAAAATAATTTTTTTAGAATGATTTGAAATTTTTTAATTTCGTCGAAAAATTTCTGTATTTAGGAATTTTTTTCTCGACACTGCATAGGAATTCGAGGGTATGTCTATTCGCCAAAAATGATTGTAATCGATCCCCCTAGCTAAAAATAATTTTTTTAGAATGATTTAAAATTTTTTAATTTCGTCGAAAAATTTCTGTACTTAGGAATTTTTTTCTCGACACTGCATAGGAATTCGAGTGTATGTCTATTCACCAAAAATAATTGTAATTGACCCCTGCTACCAAAAATAATTTTTCGAGAACGATTTGAAAATTTTGTTATCGCCGAAAAATTTCAGCATCTAATCGAATTTTTTTCTCGAAAGTGCGTGAGATTTCAAGGGTATGTCTATTCACCAAAAATGCTTGTACTTGATCCCTGTAACTAAATATAATTTTTTCAGAATGATTTGAAATTTGTTAATTTAATTAGTTAATAACTTTTTAAATAAGCCTCAGTCAAGAAATTGATATTCTTAATTTCCGTCTTATTTTGGCCTCCAGAATCTCCCATTAAAATTTTTCCCAGGTGTGGCCGATCACCCTGTATGTAGCGGGAACACTGGGATTGTTTTAGAGAGAGAAAAAAAGGCTCGTCTCGCAATGTTTTACCGATGCACCGTGGCAAGGAGCATGGCGTAAAGAAGAGGGGGGGCGAAGGGACCGAGACGACGCGGTGGGGGGGCAGAGGTGTGCGCGTCGTCGACGTAAATAAAGGCAACCCGACGAGTCTTGTTTCATCGAACCGCTATGTTGTCCGCGAAGGGTCGGTGTAACGTTCATAAAGAAACACTCGAAGGCTGTCTGTTCTAAATCTGAGGCAACGACGATGGCCGGAGCTCGTTTGCATCTTCGCTTTGGAATTTGCGCCGAAACGCCTGTTGCGCATACTGCACGTCCAACCGCGGCGCGACTGACGCTTGAAGAATCGGCGTCGCTTTGCGCACCCTCGATTCCTTGGCAACGGTACCCGAACTTCACCGAATGCGAAAAAAATATGCCTGGGTACACTGTCCGTACTTATTTTCTATTTCTCGTAAGTATGTTATATACAACAGAGATTCACGTTCTTCAAAAACATTGACCCTTTCGAAGGGCCCAATTGGAACTTCAAGGAGAAAGTGTTTCAAGCATAACGTTTTCAGAAATAGGCAAAATTCTTATCGAGACTCCGTTATTCAATTATAAAATGCAATATTTCACAACACACAAATGAATAATAACTATATTATTTCTTACTAATTATTCGAGACAAATTTTGCCAATCTCTGATATCGTTTCTAAGAAGTAGAATTTATATGGTTTACGGTACGCTCGTCTACCGTGCATTCCATATGGAACAACGCTCTTCTTTCATACTGCGTATAGTTTGATCTGCATATACATAAATTCTATTCTCTTGGCGCTAGTTCTCTCGTGTGCATGTCATTTACAGAGAACAAGTTTACGGATAAACATGCTTCGGAGATATATCCACCGATAAAGATTGCGAACGCGCGTTATTGAATAAACGATCGACGAACGCGCGCAAAAAATATCGCCGATGAATGAAATTCATTCCTGGCCGTTTTATTAAGCGCGAATCGTAATAAAACCACGTTGTTAACCTTTCTGCTACGAGCGTTTCGTACTGTTGCTACTTACGTGCAAGTACAAGAGAAGTACGAACAAAGCTATCATAGAAATTACGGTGTAATGAAATCATCTGAAAACATAATGCCCGCGCGTTGCAGCAACGAGGAAAAATAAGACCGCGTGTACCTGTAACTTCGGAAGTGGACCGAGTCGAAAGAGCGAGCGAAATAAACGCGCGCGAGCTGGAAAGAGAACGTCAAAGCGGGCAAGCGAGAGAAAAGGGGAGGGGGAAGGGGGTTAAGGCAGAAAGAGGCAGCCAGCGAGCGAAAGAGAAAGAGAAAACAGACAACGTGTAACGCTGGCGGGAGAAGGAGAGGAAGAAAGGAGGAAAGACCGCGAACAGAAAGAGAGACGGAGACGGTTAAAAGCGAAAGCCAGAACGAGCAAACGGCAAAGAGCGAGAGTGAAGCAGGAGGGCAAAGCGCAGAAGAAAGAAGGGAGTTTGGCAAGCGGTACGCTACGGCAACAAAGAACTCGAGAGCATAGAAATGTCGTTGAGGTTACCTGATGCATCGTTCGCTGGCAGATCAGTGATCAAGCTAACCCGTGGTTGTGAGTGCGATTGCTGCTGCGCCTGTTGCTGTTGCTGCTGTACCTGATGAAGGCTCTGCTGTTGAGATCCCGTCAGAGGCAGATTAGCCGCGGTGGTGTTTTCAGTCAGGATGGTCGGTACCGAGGAGGAGGAAGACGACGATGATTCCGTAAGGGCCGTCGTGGTGGTGTTCTCGAGGGCCGTGTGGCCCCCACCTTCCCCTGTCCCCGTAGCCATTCGGCCCTCGTGCATTCCAGCAGACAGACAGACGGGGGTCCCTCCTCCAGCACGTCGTCCCCGAGCGCACGCACTTCTCTCGAGAAACACCTACACTCTCTTACGTGCCCTCGCTCTCTTTCTCGCCCCCCGTCTATCTATCTGTCTGTCCCGCTTCCTTTCGAGAGAAGCGCGCGCTCGGTCTGGTTCCTTCCTTCTCTCTCCCTCTATCGCACGGTTTTCCCTCTCCGTCTCGCTCTCTCACTCTTTCTCTCTCTCTATCTCGTCCTCCTCGTGTGCGCACGCTCTTACTATCCTCCTCTCTTTTTACTACTACGCTCCCCGCGCCGGCCAGCGCCGTCTGAGCGTACCGAAACTACACCGTCTCTTTCAACCAAACATCGGTATATCACACAACAGCGACATCACACACGCCCGCGGAAAAATGAGCCCCGCGCGGATTATTAACCTCCTGTCCAGCGGCTCGAAAAAAATCGAACGTTAGACAAATGTAGGTCTGTAGGCCACTTCACTTACACTTTGCATCGGGACGGGCACTCCCTTAGTCAAGCGAGCGTCCGGCGCACCGTTGCGCTCTGACAGCACGAGTTCCAGGACCGTAACCTGTGCGTAATGAACCGCGGCTTATCTGCCGTATCGATACCGCGTACCGGAATCACTTTTTTCGATGATCGCCTTTCAGTCGATGCCATTGCTGTCCTACATCTATAAATACTGATTTCACGGGCGTTCTGTTCGTTCCGACGTAATGTTAACCTCTTGACAATTGTACGGACAGTATGTTACAATATCGTGTATGTCACATTCGTAAGATTAAAGCGGAATGCATTGTACGGACGCTGGAAGAAAATTCTCTACGTTTTATCTGTCATTCGACTGTATTTCGATCGATCCTGCAAACTCGATAGCATGTATTTTTACGACGTATGGAAAATGTCACCCTTCATATATGGTTACGAGTTTTTAAAAATTCCGCGATACATTAATTTATCAATATCTCGGTTAAATGTATTACTACATTTGCGATTATAAATTTTCATGGAATATTATTCTTCGAATCGTACATGTACGATGCTAAAATTTTTAATATTTGCGCATAAAAAATTACTCGACCGATGAGTAATGTGATAAACAATGCCAAGTATTTTCTTCCTTTACGATAATTTCGATATATTTGATACGAATGAATTGTTGACGATATAGCTTGCACCCTTTTTTACGAATGCCAGGCACGTCAGTGGATATCGAAAGGGAAAATACTATACTGATCTTGCAAATGCCACTTATCAAGGAAGAGAGCGTCCAAATATATTTTAACGTTTAAAGTACAAAATTACGGACACCCGAATAGTCTCGTAATACTTAGCATTCGGCTTTGTAATATCGAACAATAACAGAGGGGAAATTAATTTGAAAGAAAGAACGTATCGACCATTATTTTACAAGGGTACCAGGATTTACTAGACACGGTACTGTGTTCCAATAATGTATCGCAGAAAGACGCAATTTCCGAAGGATTTCTCTGCCCTCTCGTGTTTGCGAGCATTTAGAATCTGCGAATTGAAAGGCTGTCAAATGCGTTTTTCGGGTTAGAAATGTTGTCAATTTACCACTGTCTTAAATACGACGATACTGTCTAAGTAGGTCAGGTGTCACAATATCTGGTCGTCCTATTATGGGGCGCTTTTACACCGAATGTTGCATAACTCGTCACGCACGACTTCACCAAATATAACCGTGTAAAAACTATAGCCTGACGGACATAATGCGATGTAATCCCTTTTCATTGTACAATACACTTGACTAACGCTTTCGGACAACGCCAGCAGCGCTATCTGGCATCGAAAAGCGCGAAATATGAAACATAGAATAGCTCTATTCGTAAGTGCATTCACGGTATTCTCTAACTAGTAATGAGAAATATTATAAAATAAAAACACCCGATTAACGAATCGTAAAATATTGACGTTTAACAATGTACATACGAAATGTTACAAAAATATACATGCGTAAATACATAATGTATGTAATATTATATTCATAGAATACTTTTATTGTAAGTGGCAGAAAATAATTTTCTGTATGTGCACACACCTTAAATATATCAAAAAATACATATTTATATAAGAATAATTACTTCGGTCCTTATTAAATAAATAATGCAATACTGAATATAAAATCATTATATACTCCTTTCTTTAGCTCCGTTAATAAGATGACGTGATATAATCAGTCTTTGAATTTGGGCAGTGCCTTCATAGATTTGATAAATCTTTGCATCTCGCATCAACTTCTCAACCGGATACTCGGTATTGAAACCAGCACCACCAAAAATCTGGAACATAGTAAAAGTATAAAGTAATAAATGGAAATGATAACAGTCAACTAGATATGCGTCATTAAAATCGATTTCGTACTTGCACTGCATCTGTTGCACACTTATTAGCTATATCTCCACCGTAACATTTTGCAATACTGGCAAGAGCTGTTGCTGTTGGAAGACCCTGATCAGCAGCCCAAGCCGCTTTCATCCATGCCAGTCTGGCCGTTTCGACGCCAACTGCCATATCTGCGAGCATAAATGCTACAGCTTGATGTTCCGCTATTGGTTTATTAAACGTTTTACGTTCTATTGCATATTTTGTAGCTTCATCTAGCGCCCTCTGCGCCAAGCCAATAGAGCCAGCTGCCACCTATAAGAAGAATAAAATAGAACATTCAAACATTTCAGTTTCGTTTCTTCCTTTTAAGAAATATCATTGTCATACCATAGGTCTGGTCTTATCAAAGGTTTTCATAGCAATTATAAAACCTTTGCCTTCCGCGCCTAAAACATTTTCTTCCGGAACGCGAACGTCTTCGAACGTTATCATTCGAGTGTCGGAAGCTCTTTGACCCATGTTTATTTCCTTAGCATTCCAAAACAATGCAGTTTCAATTAACAAAATGCAATGATTTCAAAATAATATATCAACACTTCGATAATAAGAAAATTTACCTTACGACCAACCGATAAACCATCGCTTTCACGTTCAACGATAAAAGCTGTAAAAGCTTTACTTACTGACGCCTTTGGGTCAGGATTTGATCTTGCCAACACGAAATACCTAAAGAACATTGTTTTCTTAATGTACTAAACAATATAAGTAATATTACAGTGTAACTATAAATTGATTATACCAGTTGGCAACACCTCCATTTGTTATCCACATTTTTGTTCCATTAAGAATCCATTCTTTTCCTTTCTTCTCGGCTCTCGTTTTAACGCCCGCTACATCGGATCCGGCCCCAGGTTCAGTAACACAATATGCCTGTAATTTTTTTATTGTAAAAATAAAAATTACGATTAACCCCTTGCACTATTTTCACGAGTCTGACTCGCGATGAAAATTTTAGGCCAAACTTGAATACCACGGAGTCGAACTCGTAAATATCGATATTCCGTCGATCGATATATCATGTTTCGGGCGTATGGGTTAGGCACGGCTTTTTTTCGAATTTCAGCGTAGTGCAAGGGGTTAATAGTACATATATATTTAAATTTTTATTCAACTATCTTACAGCAACAAGTGGTTCCTCAATGAGTCTTCCAAGATATTTCTTTTGTTGTTCTTTTGTTCCAAATGCAATTACTGGAGCTTGCTACAGATAAAATACATCCAATTTAAAATGCAGTGTGTCCGATTTATACAAATACAAGTTAAAAACGTCCTATAATACTAACACCCAATCCCGATCCTTCTAATGCAGTTGATATTCCTGTACAACCATACGCAAATTCTTCCGTAACTAAACAGCTGTCGAAAATGCCAACTTCCATTCCTCCTACAACAGTAATGATTTGTAAATTTCTGATTAATAGAAACTTATAAGTTACATACATATAGCATGCTTTCATTTATTTATAATTATACCGCAATGTGCAGGAACATGTCCATTCAGAAGTCCTAAACTCCACGCTTTCTTTATAATATCCCATGGATATTTTCCACTTTTATCATATTCAGAAGCTACTGGTATAATTTCTTCTCTTGTAAACTTCCTTGCCAATTCTTGCATTTCTCTCTGAGTATCTGTTATTGCTAAAATAAAAATTAACCATATAATAAAATAATAAGAAAAGTAAAATTGTAACAGGATCCGCTTGTACTACATTATCACGCTTACCAAAGCTGCATCCTGTAACAGACTCAGTTTTTGTTGAAAATAATTGCATCAACTTATGACTTGTCTTTTGTTTCAATACCTAGAAATCGTATAATATGTAGTTGAAAATACCGTAATTTTATATAAACTGGCATATTAAATCCTTGTATCAAATTATTTTCACATATTTATGAAAATGATAATTTAATAGATATTTACATAACTCGTTTAAAATTTTATACTGTATGGAATACTCGTTTTATATTTCTTGATAAATTACTTACTGATCGCAGAAACATTTTAGCAGCTGCTTGTTTCTAATGTCGTAAGAATATATTGTTGAACAACGAAGTTACAGCGGTATAATTAGTCCTGAATACTGGATGAATTATGAACTGCTTATATGTGGCAGTTGTTGTGCATTTAAAAATCAAAACAAAAAAAACTGCCGTACTAAACGAGAACATTTACATATTAAATACTGATAAAGATTAAAGTCCACTCGGACTGAGCTTTTAATGAACAAAGTGCAACTAATGTCGTCAAGTATGTTGATCATTATTTGCACTTTACCCTAAGGCTAGTCCAACGTTAAATGCATATCCATACGTCTTTCGAATTGCACGTATACATATACGTGCATCCACATGAACAATCCAAACTGTAAATTTTAAATGGACCACGCACATTAAAGTACTCGTATATTCGCATAGATCTGCGTCCAATGTTGAGTTTCAATTAAATTTTCATTTCGAATTAATCGTGCAATTTGAAATCCGCACGAATGCATATTCGATGTGCAACCACCTTTAAACATTAAATACCATTCATACGTTTGTTTTGAAGTTGAATGCAGTTTGAAGAATGGTGATTGACGTGAGGCTAAAAAAAAATTCTAGATAAACAGCTAATTGATCATCGTCAAAACACATTTCCACCACTTGTAAATATGTTTACACGCTGGAAATAAAACGTTGATGATAGTACTACAATTATAGCGTTATCATTATTACTAGTCATTTTTTTTTTCTATGTACTTTCTTTATTCTTACTTTGTATCACAAACGTAGATATCGGTTATATGTATTTGTGATACTGATAACAATCTCAGCAGTAACAACTATCACGATTAGTTTCGAAACTTATAAAGATAGTTATTATTGGGAAAGTAGCTCTTAAAATCACGAGATGATTAATTGCTACAGTCATTAAAATCTGAAAAAAATATTATACAGGGTGTTCGGCCACACCTGGGAAAAATTTTAGTGGGGTATTCTAGAGGCCAAAATACGACGAAAATCAAGAATAACAATTTGTTGATAGAGACTTTGTTAAAAAGTTATTAACGTTTGAAGTTCCGCCCCTACTGAATTTTTTTCTCGAAAATGCGCAGGATTTCGGGGGTACGTGTAATGACCAAAAATGATTGTAACTGATCCCCGCAACCGAAAATAATTTTTTTAGATCGATTTGAAAAATTTTTTTTCCGTCGAAAAATTTCACACCTTCTCGAATTTTTTTCTAGAAAGTGGGTAGGATTTCGGGGGTATGTCTATTCACCAAAAATGATGGCAATGGACCCCCGCAACCGAAAATAATTTTTCCAGAACGATTTGAATTTTTTGAATTTCATTGTTAATAACTTTTTAACGAAGCCTCCATCGACAAATTGGTATTCTTGATTTTCGTCTTATTTTGGCCTCTAGAATCCCCCATTAAAATTTTTCCCAGAGATGGCCGAACACCCTGTATAAGCAATCACAATTTCAATTCCATGAATAAATGAATCATTGTGACTATAAATAGGCCACGTATATGTAAATTTATATTGAACAAGATACATAAAATTAAGCAATACTTAACTATTTGACATAAAAAATTACATTGAAATGTGAATAAATTTGTTTACATTGGATTGTATGAATACAGAAATTTAGGCGGGAAAACTTTGATCATTTTACCGGCATATAAATAATTTCGAAAAACTTCGAAGCTACATTAAAGCATTTAAATCGGTTCAATATGGTTGAATACAGGTAAATTAGAGAATACGTAAAATGTTGTAAGTAACAAAAATCAATCGTCTGAGTTATAATAAGATAGAGAGACGACTTGATGGCTAGGTACGCTGTCCTCACATGCATTGTCATTATTGGCTGTGTCGATCACCACTACAATTCCATCGTGTGACGAAGAACGCGAATAAAACGTATCAAGGAAAAATAAGATAAAACCATATTGAACGTCATTGGCGTAGCCATAAGTTCAAAGTATTAACCATAAATAAGACAAACCTTTATCTTTCGTGGATGTGGAGATCCTACTACTATGTAGCGTGACGTAAGAGCGGGAGTTTCTGGTGGGAATTAGGCGGCGCGAAGATCCACTCCCCTAGCCCCTTGCAACGTTCGGTTCCTCGGTGCTTGCCCAACAAGTCATCTCTCTATGAAATGAATAAATGAGTAAATGAATCTTCACCCAAATTTAGAATTGCCATTATTGGTAATGTTGTGAATTTTCACACATAAAAAGTACAAAATGAAATTAAATTAACGTACGTATACGATTAGTTAACTGTGACAATTGTCACTCTGATTTATTGTTACAATAACAATTGCATCTGACAGTTCTGTTAATCTTTCCAGCATGGAGATAGAGATTCATCCATTAACAAACGATCCTACAGAAGCCTGGCATGAATTGTCACAAAAGCAGAAAGTCATCAAAATAAATGCTAAACATCCAACAACCGATGCTCCAAATGACAAGGTAAAATATTCAGACCATCAGTTATTTTTATTTATTATAAGATGTCTGTTTGAATCTGACTCAGTGTCGATGTTATAAATTGTGAATAAAATAGAATTTAATATGCTTAATTATATTGTAGCTTCGCGTTGTCTGTATGAGTGATACTCATTCGTTAACGCCGTTCTTAAAATTTGATATACCTATGGGAGATATCTTCATCCATGCTGGAGATTTTACAAAATGTGGCAATTTACAAGAAGTTATAGAGTTTAATAAATGGATTGGTGAGCAATTCAATATGAAAATAACTACTGTACGTATCTTATATTATTAATGTATATATTTTGTATTATTGCAGGTAATTTGCCGCATAAAAATAAAATTGTTATTGCTGGTAATCATGAGCTCAGTTTTGATTCAACATTTACACATCCCTTTGACATACCCACATTGGGAATGTCCAGAGACATTCTGGCAGAAGCCATACAAACCACTAATGTTAAGGATTATTTGACAAATTGTACTTATTTAGAAGATTCCGAAATTATAATCCATGGAATAAAGTTATATGGTTCGCCATGGTAAATATGTTTATTTACGTTAACGTTAAAATTAATTTAAAAACTTAAAAAACGATTATTCCGTGTTTCAGGCAACCAGAATTTTGTAATTGGGCATTTAATTTACCTCGCGGAGAACTGCTTCTTTCGAAGTGGAATAGGATACCGTCAGATACAGATATTCTTATAACGCACACGCCCCCTATAGGTCATGGTGATTTATGCTGTAATAAAGTACGAGCTGGATGTGTAGAATTACTGTCTACGGTACAGAATCGAGTTCAACCAAAGTATCACGTTTTTGGTCATATACACGAAGGTAATGTCTATATTTTTTTGTTTTTTTTTCGAAAGAAATTACATGCTAATATCTTTGTAATAGGGTATGGTATTTCAACTGATGGCAAGATAATATATATAAATGCGTCAACATGTGATCTAAATTATTTGCCAAGTAATCCACCAATAGTTTTCGATATAAAGCTACCACCAGGTTGTAGTAAATCATAAAAAATGCGGAACATAGCAATAAATTTCATAATTGTATTTCTTACATGAGAAGTATTTGCAAAAAAAAAAAAAAAAATAGAACGTTTAATGTGTTTATCAATAGATTTATACGAATTTCTTTAGAAATTATGCACTCTTTCATCCTAGATATTTTATTTAAGAAACCATGAAGAATACAGAAATGTAATAATTTATGGTTTCGTGATAGTACCTTCTATTTTGTAATATTAAAAGAAGTCTCGAAATTAAATGATCATTATAATCTCGTTACATGTAAATAGCTTATATAATTTAAAAGAATAACTTAACAACTATGTATTCAAACAAATTATAGCAATTTTATATGTTGTATTTTATAAGATTTGTAAATTTTTTTTAAACGTAAAAGTAAACAATTTTGTACCTCCACGAAGTCATTATATATAATACTAAAATCAAATGATAAATTATGTTAAATAATTGATTTTTTATTTTTATTATTATTTGTACAGAATAATATTCTGTGATGTAATTATGTAATATATTATTTTATGTATTTACGATGTTCCTTTCCCAATTGGTAATTTTTATAATTATTTTATTAGAATACACAGCATAATGTAATAATAAACATTTATTAATCATACAATTCAATAGAATATAATGAAATTAAAGTATTATAGTGCAATATATAAATCATAGGTCAATATATAGTAATTAATAATAGAAATTGAATTAATTTGATATTTAACTAATGAAGTAATTGTACTTGAGGATATTTGCTTCAATTACATTTATAAAATTATAGCGTTTATTCTAAGAAAGTATTTCTAAACACTTAAACACGGTATAGTTCGTAAGTATGGCATTCAATTTAAGCTATCTTTGTATTAGTAGTCAAATAAAAATAATAGCAATTGTGTACATAATTTTTCCAATATAGAAATAAAAAAATAAAAATTGTATTTTTTTTAAGATATTTATTACAATGTTCAATTCATTAACAGGTGGCATTTTTTATCGAATTAAGAAAAATTTGCACGTAAATGATGCTGTGTTTATATTGACTTATATTTTCGTGTAATATTGGTCCGAAGCTAAGTAAGTTGATGACTGCAGCAGTCACATTCCTCCATTAAATGAGGTAATAATTGTTTTTGGCAATACAAATATATTCATATAAATAGTTATTTTTGTTTTCTTAAAAATTGTTGTAGTAAAAGATAGTCGAAAAAAATAGTGTCCCTTCAACATTATTTTTCTTATTACATACGATGTAGAAGACAATGTATTAAAGTACAATACCAAATTATATTAGAATTGTAAAAATGTAGTCTTTCCGACGCTTTGCATTATCGTGTGAAAAATTTTACACAGATATTACAAACTTTTTGCGTTTATCTGTAAAAACGAGATATGCCTCTGATGGCGTGATTACATTGCATGAATGTTTATATTTTCACCCATTGCAATAGATTTCATCCCGAGTCACGCATACACGTGCCAGGATAAATGTAAATGTCATTTCGTATTGCAGTAACAGATACGTTACTTTTAACGTTCTGAATAAGTTTTAAATTAAATGATATAATCACTATAATTTAAACAGAACAGTAATGTGTACTGCCTATTAAATAGCAGTCTAGCAAAATTTAATTATCATTAAACACTTTCACTTTGAGAATTCTCGTTGATACCTATCAATTACCAACTTAGTTTTTGCTCAAAATGGATAATACAGTATACTTTTTATCTATCTAATATCTCATTTCCTACATACACCTAGGAAAAAAAGAGCACATACGGTTTTCAATTTAAAAATAGAACACAAGCGCTTGTTCCAAGATTACTCCTGTAGGCAAGTTAGTTTAAACTATACTAAGGATAACAGTAAACGGATGTAAAAAGATTTGCGTTCTTTTTACATAATTCAATACAGTACATTATAGGGAAGATTTATGTCTAATACGGTACATTTGAAAACAAATACGATACAGATTCACCATTGTGAGTCCGTCTCACGGCTTCGGCAAACATCATTGATACATCAATGCACTAAAAAGTACATAAAATTTAATTGGAATTTATTCAAAATCTTATTTAATAGTAATTGTGTCTATCCACCTGTATCTTTGGACAATCCTTCATATGACCATCTTGAGGAATGGTGTTTGTTACTACAACAGCTTCGAAACAAGCATTATTAATTCTGCTAATTGCTGGGCCACTGAAAATGCCGTGTGTTAAAATTGCGTATACTTTCGTGGCACCAGCTTCTAAGAGTTTTTCCGCTGCATGGCAAATAGTACCGCAAGTGTCGGCCATATCATCTACTAAAATGGCGACTCTATCTTTTACATCTCCAACTAATACCATACTGGCAACCTCGTTTGCCTTTTTCCTTTCTTTGTGTATAAGCGCAAATTCTACATTTAATCGATCAGCAATCGATGTTACCCTATTGGGGTCAAAATTCTTTGATATGCTCATTTCAAGTAAATTTCTTATATCAATGCATTACCTTTTGGCACCGCCAGCATCTGGAGAAACAATAATGCTATTTCGCCATTCAACAATATTTTCCTTGATCCATTTGAGGACAGCAGGTTCAGCGAATAAATTATCAACTGGAATGTCGAAAAAGCCTTGAATTTGACTGGCATGCAAATCCATTGTAATGATGTGATCGGCTCCCGCTACCGACAACATGTTTGCTACTAATTTCGCTGAGATAGGTGCACGACTCTGAAAAACAAACAGAGAATTTAAATTTCGCGATATAATGCGAGTCTCTCAAGTCCATTTGCAACTGGAAATATCCTGCAATTTGAAAAAAATTGCTGTTAAAATTTTTGTAGCATTTAAAAAGTTGTAAAAAAATTGATAAACAAAGGTCAGTACAACCAAATACAGGTATATAAAAAAGTCATGTTAAGGAAGAAGAGGAAAAATTAATTATTCGCTTTAGAGGGGACAAAATATAAATACAATGGCTGTTTACTACTGAAATTTTCATTAAAAATTGTACACGTGTACATAATGACTAAAAGAAAAACGATATGTTGCAAATGCACCCCAGTTAGACTCAACAAAAAAAATATAAACAAAGCAGAGTTCAAACTTTAATTATAAAACAGAACACAGTGCATTTTTATTTCTTGGCTTTGCACAATGACACTTAAAACATGGAGAACGGTGAAAAAGAGTATTTTGTAAATTTGAAATAATAACAGAGGTATGTAACAAATGCAATAATAAACTATTAACGTTAAAACAATTAACAAAAATTCGCTTGATAGTGAGAAATGCATTGTGCTCAGGGAAATGATTACAATTAATTCATTTTAATAAAACTGTCTATTGTGAGCATAAATTTCACAAAAGCTGACTAATGTTAACAACTTAACGAATGTTTTTATTTGCAAATCATTTCATTGGCATGACATACTATTTACAAGACAACACAATCACAGTTCTTTCTTGCTAAAGCACTATTTCGTTAATAAGATAGGCACTTTTTGATTAGTATACTTAGACAATAACATTTTCAGCAACATAATAATTAGTACCCATTTAACATACAGATGTGTACCCCGTTATGTGTATATAGATTATTAAGAATGTATGTAGAATGCTATTATATTAATATTTTGCCCTCTCATTCATATATCAATATGCTTTGACCAAATAGTTCATTCATTCATTCATTCATAGGGGTTCCATTGTGCCATATAGCCACAATTATAAGTTTTGTTAGTCCTACAAAGAAAGTTTTGTAAGAAACTAAAAATGATATTACAAATTGAAATTGTTCATCGAGTTATAGTTACAAACGTTTCACTCGACAATTTTATTGCTCTTATACTCACTGTAGAGAGGTCGGGCACAAAATCCTGAAAATACCCAACTATTCAGAAACTTGGAAGTATGCATTAGAAATCTTTTAATAGTTTTACAATATAATCCCTTTAAAACTTACAAGATACGTAAAGATGTATTAAATAAATCATTTATCAACAGCAAAATATTATTATTATATTATTTATAAATTTTTAATAAACATTTTCAATAATTATTATATACATTATTAACAAATCTTCATCAAATTAGTAATTATTATTAATATATTTTTCGAAGCCACAGTACTGTGTAATTATTAATGTCTTAAATCTGTGATACTAATAATAACGCTCTTAACTGAAAAAATTAGTAGACCAAGATAAATTCAATGTATCTTATAATATGAATGCATGAAAGGCCCCCCTCGATGAATTCTAGTATCAGTTTTGCAATGATCACATGGGTTATCTACTTCTGATAACCTTAGATTATTACCAAACATAATATGCTTTCGCTTATAAAATATTTGTTGTTTACTGCTTTGCTAGTTTGTTTTTTTTACTAGTGGAAAATAATGCTGCTTCTTTAGAGAAACCAAGAATGTTGCAAAATTTCAAGAAGTTTTATCCCATTTAAGTTACTTTCCCATAATATACGAAATATAAAATTGATCATTGTACTAATACCACATATATACATTAATTAACATTAATATTTTTCCATAATTGATCCATGCAAATTATGTATATGACTAAAATATTTGTTTCAAACAATGCATGTTCGTTTTTTCCTTTCCTTTTCAAGATTGAAATGCATTTTGAAATTTTAAGTTTTCTCGTGAAATTTATAAAATGAATAATTAATTCTTTTAGTATGATAAGTACCTTTTTTAATGTGCATGCTACACTACATGATTATACATGAAAATTTACTGAAATAAGTAAATGTTTTATTGTATGTATAATTTCCATGCCTTGTTTTAAATTACGAAATACTAGTATAATTATGAGTACCAAATGTTTAAATACAATATATAAATTGTCCGCAATATATTTTTAACGCTGCAAGTTATTTATATACAGGTTACTTTATAACTTTGACTTTTAACATTAACCTACGTTAGTTATGATTTCATTAAAAAAGTATGTATGATGTAATATATAGTGTGTATCCTGTACTAAAAGCATACCATTTGGTACAGCCCAATAAGATAAGCAAGAAAGTTACAAGCATATTTCATATGATGATGAGAATTCATGTTTTGCATTCCAAATATGATATTGCTCCATTGGTCTGTTGCAAAGCTATGAAACAATAAATATATCATAATAAGACCGTTAGAAGTTACCCTGAATTTCCACTCGTTTGACTTCATGATAATTTGATTCTTAGAATTTGAGTTGTCACCTCCATCACCACCCTGTGAAGACATCATATAAAAAAAAAAAATTTAACTCCTTCTCAAATAAGATACAACATCCTTATTGAGAGCCCACGGTGTAATTATAGACACATACAAAAAAAATGTAAACAATCTGGTCAAGCCTCAACCTATGAAATAAAGCATTTGAAATATGTACAAAGTATGATTATTACGTCTGAAACGCTTACTTGAGAGAAATAAGCATATAATAAACATTCAACTACAAAAGTATATGGATATATTATGTAGAGCTGAATTAGGAATTTACATGTTATATTATTTTATTGAAACTGTAACTATACTATGTTTTTCCTACACAAAGTAGCTTCTCTATTTGCATGTGCAAAGCAGTTTAATTGTGTTAATCAATGGCATACATCAACAAGATGACTATTTTGAATCTAAAGTATTAGAATTCACTGAAGCATAATTTTTTGTAAGTTGTATTGTTATGTAAGTGCTTTATATTCACACGATTTTGTTATATTTATTCATTTTATAAAGTAATTTTGTACGGAATATATTTTGCATACATTTGCTTGTTAACAAATAATAATAGAAAATACTAATTTTATTCATTTCTATCGATATCACAAATATTGTATAAATTGTCTTTGGAAGTTAATAGAATGGAATGTATTTTTTAAAGTGAAAAATTATAGAAATATATTATCACACTCTAATATAATATAACAATGTGTGAATACACGTTTTCACATAGGTGTAGACATTTTACACTCAAATGGATATCACAACATAAAGTTAAATCATAACAATAAAGTGCTATTACACATTATCCGAGTATGATACTGATTTCTATAACTGATAGTGATTAACGAGCAATTGAAATTTGTAAAAAAAAATAATGTAAGTAGTAGAAATATACCGACATAAGGTTTTAACAAATATTTTTTATATTATGGTGAAAGTACATACGTATATGTGCTACAAGATACCATATAATGGGGACAAAACTGTAAGATCACAAATAATATAAATAATTTCAATTTCATTCGTTGAAACTATTTTGTTAAGTTTTTATTAATATTCTGTATTAGATAAAAATTATAGACACGTATCATCTTAGCCATGTATCTTACCTTATCCTTCTTGTCTTGTCTTGCATACGGAAAACAAGGAATTACAGCAGTTACCCGAGACGCAGAAGCAATTTTACATGCATTGATCATAATCAATAATTCCATTAAATTGTCATTTACTTCGCCGCTTCCACTTTGTACAATGTACACATCTTCTCCTCGAACAGATTCCCCTATCTCCACGCTAAAAAAACAGATTAAATAAAATGTTTATGAGGAAACTATTACACAATTGTTGTTATAAGAACAAATATGTACCATAAGCAAGATAAATTAATTTAAAAGTGTGTAAATATAGATTAAAAAAGGAAAAAAAAAAAGAGAAAGAGATTAAGAAATTCATACATATTGTACAAGGAATTTATACATATTTGAATTATAGTAACCATATTAATCGATTTGTACATTGAAAAGATAATATCAATGTACCTTACATATTGTTGCTCTAATATTTTATCTTTGACGAATATTTAGGTTTAATTTTATTTTAAATCTTATACAGATAATATGGGCAAACATTGAACAGATGAGTAAATAATAACACGGTAATAAATCATTTTTATCATGGTTGCATACAAGGTGAAATGCGTTCTGATATTTGTGCAGAACATTGATGTTAGAATTAATTAGAATGGTGTATTAATAATTGTACCAGTTGACCTTCAACTTAAACGTCGTAGTTTAGTAGTACAGGGGGGAACCGGCCTGACGCGACAGGGTTGTTTGTACACTGATAGGGTTGATTAATTAATGAAAAAACGATAAATATAAAGAAAAAATGCTAAAAATGCTCTGCCTTTTGAACAAAGAAATGGCAACCGAAAAAATATAAATGAAAATTCGAATGACACGTGGTCAAGACCCAAGTTTAATACAATGACAATAACGTGGTTATAGCGGTGAATGCGACCATTACCATGTTTCGAGGTTGCTAAATTTCTTGGTGACAACCTTCCCAATGTCTATGCCAAGCCTGTCGACGATACGTTGAGCCAAATCTGGATGCGATGTGCCGCTGAAGACTTTGATGTTTGGCATTCTGCTCTGCAAAAGTCGTCCGCGAGAATTTTCTAAATTTGCGCGTAACAAACTCTTGGCACGCACTGGCTGGGACACAGGCATCACTAAAACAGAAATCATATAGAGACTATCCAATCAGAGAGTGTTTCAGAAGCCGGACGTGACGTAAAGTGCTACGCTCCGCCCACCGAATGCCAGACATAACCGCGTAAACGCTTTCTTATCGTGTACTTATTTTTTTTTATCACCTCTGGGAAAATAATAAACTAGAAACGACCAATTTTATTTCGTCGCGTAACGGACATTTCTAACATCTTTATGAACGTCATCGATCACGCTTGTTATGAACGCTGCAATATAACCATATGTTTATGAAGTATTAATAGCCAATTTCATAACGAGGCAACATTTTAAATTCTACGTATCTAAATCATTAACTAAACACTTTATTTCATTCACTTTTATATTAAAATGCAAACGAAAGTGTATCAGCTAGTTTGATTCGTCGTGAAATTAAAATTCATTGCATTTTAAAATATAATTTTCGTATATCGTGTATAAAAAATGTATTATTAATTTTTTTTTACAAAACATACTTGCGACATGTGTACGGATTTTCCTTGGACGTGTATTTACGTGGAATTTCCTTTCTAAATTGTACGGGGAATTGAATTAAAGGCACTAACGCTATAAAAATTGGCCATTATCATTTACAATTTGGCGCCGTAACGAACAACGACGTGAATATAGACGAAATTCAAAAGGGTGAACACGAGCGGGTGACAGTCAACTTGTCCTATCAATGTGGCGCCGGCGGTGATTGAATGATAAATTGGATGGTCCGTGAGCGGAGATTTTGGCATAGAACACGGGTTAGAACGATCGTTTTTCCGAGTAGACAGAGAGAGGAAATTCGAGTACGATTACCTGAAAGGTTCGCGCACGTTGACGCTCTGAGAGAACTTCGTTAATCTATTCGAATGACGATGACAGTGTGCTGACCGTCCCACCGATACGGGAGCTATGGCGAACATCGCGGCACAGAGGATCAAACGCGAATTTAAAGAGGTTATAAGGAGTGAGGAGGTGAGTGAACAATACATTCGCATGACTTTAGGAAGTACGATCCGTCTTTCGCGAAATGAAACTATCAATATCGTTTAACAGTATCGTTTGATTGTACGATATTGTTTCGAGAAAATTTTGCGTGTGGCGTGACAAAAATGTGCCACAATTCATTGGCTAATAAAATCAACGCGAACAAAGCATAGGCACCTGTTGTATTGTATTCTCGACTGTCATCTATTTTTAAAATTGTTGTTCAACATCTCCGAACAAAGGCGTTAAGTGTATTACGTTAAACAAACATTTACATTAATTATTTCGTATTAATTGCAATGATAATTGTACATAAAATCCTGCCCTTTGCGCAGATACTTCAATGAATTAAAAGATAACGTTAATTATGCGTATCAGGATTATTTTTGCTCTACTTTAAATCTAACATAAATGAAGTTTTCCATTTCTCAGAAATAAAATTATCTCGTAAAATGGTACATACCATTGTCCTTTAATTTTTTAGAGCACTGGCATACTTGTTCGGTCTCATGCTGCTCTGGAAGATCCATTTTACACGCACATTAAGATCTGTTTTGATGTAATGTTTTCACATGTTTATACATAGGCAATTTACGTCAGAATGTCACAATCATTATCTTATGACAATTTTGTAAATTATTACTAGAGAACACTATGTCATTTTATTATCAAACATTGACATTGATAAGTCCGTGGTTATATTTTCCAGGCATTTTGAAAAAATGATTTAACGTTTGTAAATATAAATGTTGCACTGCGTGTGATGCTTCCATCCGATAAAAGTAGTATGCGCTTTATAATTTCTAATGAAAATCACATAACTTTTACGTTGTTCGATAAACAGAGTATCTATACAATAGAAATTTACATTGAAATAACCATACAATTGTAATTTTATGTTTCATTGATTTCTTGCATGTTTAGTGTTCATTTGTTTATAAATGAAGAAAAGTGTAGAGTTAATTTTGTTTTATATAAATTGAATGTTGCTATTTTCATTCAGGTAAGTATGTGTTTTTTTTTTTACAAAAGTTACATATTATGAAATTATTTGCTTCTATCATTAACTGTTTGAAACTTTATTACAGGTTGCAAAATGTGCAATAAATCTTGAGCTGGTAAATGATAGTTTTACTGAATTAAAAGGTGAAATTGCTGGTCCACCAGACACACCATACGAGGGAGGCAATTTTGTACTCGAGATTAAAGTTCCCGAGACATATCCCTTCAATCCTCCTAAAGTAAGCACTTTGTAAGTCAATATGATTAATGTATGTTAATGATAAAGAATTGATTTTGTACTGCTTAAGATTAATGCAGATTAGTATAACCCAAAGCATGACAAAGCATTTTCCATGTTGCCTTTTAATTTGAGCTTATAAAAATGTCTCTATTTTGAAATTATTTTACATTTAATCATTTAAATATTGCTCAAAAACTTTTCTTTATTAGTTTTACATTATTTAATGATGAGGGAAAATGTGATATACGAATTATTCAATGCTTATGTACATTTTCTATGATCTAACTGTTATAAATGTTTAAATAGTTATTGTTTCTTGTAGGTACGATTTATAACAAAAATATGGCACCCTAATATATCTTCTGTAACAGGTGCTATTTGTTTGGATATATTAAAAGATCAATGGTGTGTAATTACACAATTAGCTACAATATATTGTACAATGTATTGGTCTAGTACCGTAAAGTGTACTGTGCATTTCAAATATTTGTCTTTAGGGCTGCTGCTATGACTCTACGCACGGTATTGCTATCATTACAAGCTTTATTATCTGCAGCAGAACCAGATGATCCACAAGATGCAGTAGTGGCTAAACAATATAAAGAGCATCCAGAAATGTTTCGTCAAACCGCTAAACATTGGACGTTTGTGTATGCAGGTGGTAGGTATACAGATCCCTTTGGAAATTGATAACCGTTTTCGCGTAAACATTGAAATTATTACAGGACCTGCTAAGATGCCTGATTTAGATTACAAAATAACGCGGTTAACAGATATGGGAATCGAGGAACATGATGCAAGAGTTGCTTTATCTTCTTATGATTGGGATTTGGAACGTGCCTCCGAGCAGCTCTTCAGTTTGTGATAACTGTATAGTTAATGTGTCATATACAAGCACTGATCATTTTGTCATTACAAAACTTTTGTAATACCACACCCAATTATTGACACCATACCAGTTTCATAATCAAATTCAGCACTTGTAACGACAATATTTCAATGGCAAAAAACATTTGCAGGAAATTCATTTAATGTCCTTGAATAATAGTCATTTATTTAACTTGTAAAATAGGCATGAAAAATCAGTAACTAATAAAATCTGTTAAGTCCATCTTGATAGCCACATTTTAAAGAAGAACTTTATGAAAAAAATCATTTTTCATCTTGCGTTTATTAAAAGTTTAATAATGTTGTTTAAACAATTAAATTTTTAATTGTTACAAGAAGTAAACAATGCATTTATCAGATTTCTTTTAAAGAAAAGGTAGCTTTATGTGTTGAGTATTCATTAAATCTCTTTGTACAAATCATTATATATTTTTAAATCTTTCATTGGCCTTTCCTTTTACTGTTGTAATTATATTTTATTAATTGGTTATCTGATTTGTTTTCTGACTGTAGTAAATACATCGTTCATTTTTGCACAGCACAGGATTTAATAAACATTTTTATTTTTATAGATTAATATTTCTGCTTTATAATCTGTTATATTCATTAAAAAAACATTAGTCATTTTGTACTTTTATTGTTAACTTCTAAATTTTTTAAAGCCACAAAGAGGTTGTGCAGTACTGCCTCGCTTTTTGCATAAATCCACATTAACTATGAAATATGCTATTTCGCATTAGTATTGGCACACACCGATGCCTCGAACGATGCGTTTGGCATCTTTTTCAAATCGCAGTGACGCAGTCATTTGCATAACAGGATGGAATTTCTAGATACCGAACGTATGAAACTGCCCAGCACCCTCAGTGTTGTATCTTATTCACTTTTTTCGACTTTGTTGTATGATCGTGAACACATGCAATATGTAGGTAAAATGAGTAATAACTACAATGACCAAACAGGATAATTGAAATTTAGAGCATGAAGGCAACAAGGAAAATGCATTAGTTCAATAGATGTTCTTTACAAAGAAAGGATTTGAATTTGTCACTATTTAATTTAACACACATGTGTATTAGGTTTCGTTTATTCCCAATGTTATTTCCCAATCGCTATCCTTTTTAAGCAGCCTGTTTGAATTCGACCAGTTCTAGAAACAAAGTCTTCCCTAAACCCTAAACCCTAAACCCTCTTCGTACGAAATTTGTCGATCCTGATTCGACTGCAAGAAAAGAGGCAGTACTGTATTTTAATTATATTTAATTGTATATTATTGAAATAGACACGAACTTGTTAGCATTAAATGGTATTTGTAAAAAGAATCGTAATGATAAATGCTATATTGTTAATATTTAAATTTTGCGTATTTTCGGTGATGGGATATATTTTAATACTTTATAAATTACCATTGTTATTTATGTATACATTACTGTATGTATGTAGTTATCTGCACTTGAAACTGGATGTGTACATTCCATGTTTAGTTAAAAAATTGCATTTACACGTCACTGATGATGAAATTACAAAACAAATTTGGTTTTCGAGTAATGATAGCAAATTCAATGGAAAAGTATTGGGTCGCAAATCTTGTTGACACTTCCAATTTCAGAAAATTAAGGGGGAAAAAAAACAGTTATATTCGGAATATTTAATGACATTTATGAAAGTGTCTTGTTTGTGAAGAATTGCTAGTTTATAAATAATTTAAGAGGAAATTAATTATCCATAAAATCTGATAAAATAACAAGCATATGTAGAATACATTTCAGACTTGTTCTAAACATTACTTGTATAGCATTACACATATTATATAGACTTTTAAATGTAATTACATAATATCATGTCTCTTGTAGTATTAAAATAGGATTTTTTCAATTTTCTTTTATAATTTTTTAGTAATTGATATGAAAACTGGGTTAGAGGTGTGTTAATAGATTATAAACGCTGTTTGGTTTGTTTGATTCAGAATTGCAAATATAAAAAAATTAGGTACATATGGGTTAATTTATGAAAATAAACAACACCTTTAAACATTCTAGATGTAAATTAATATTTCAAAAATATTAATAAATAACATTTTTCAGTAATAGCATTGAAAATGTTTATACAAAAGTTCCCTTATAACTGTATTTGATTAATCCTAATTTCAGTACATTCGTTATATTATTAGCTATCATGTTACTTAATGTTTATCAACATACACTCATTTTTACTGTCGTTATTCTACTTTTAAATATTATTCCAGACACTGTAGTCTATTAATAAGAATGTGTACAATATTTAATTAACCGATGGTAACTTTCATATTTATTTTTACAATATCTTCCTACTTCAAGTTACACATGCAGAGAACTTCTGTATTGTCAAAAGTAAATGAACTTAAGTTTTACTTGAAATAGAACTTTCTTTTGTGTTATTTACATATGATTTTATCACATTATATATCGTATAAAAAAATATTATTCAGACTTGGATCTAGGAAACGCATGATTTGCAGTTATACCATATACCTCTTAAATTACGATCTTATGGTGTATGTATGAAAGACGTTTTTGTCATGGATTAGGCAATATAAACATTGCAATTAGTCTTACACCACTGTAATTTTGTATTAATGACAGTTATCCGTGATTATAAATTCGAACTTTTTTTGCGGAAAGCGTTGCTAAAAATAAATTACTATTAACGTCGACCGCACACATATCCACGACAGGATCAGATACAGGCAGACTGTTTATTTGTTTCCCGGCAGATATACTCCACAATGATATAGAACTGGTGGATTCTTGATGCGCAGCAACTAATGTGTCGTTTTCAACATTTATATAACACGGCCTAGACAATAACTGATGAGAATTGCCCGCATGAAACGTATGTACAATATTACAGATAGCTGATTCATCGTTGCCCTTTTCTATTGTGCATACAACATGTCTAGCATGAGGCTGCCTGGCATTTGGACGGGAAGAGATTAAAGCATGATTATTTTTTTCATCATAACACACAGATACAAATGGACCTTCGAGGAATATTTGTTTGGGTACATATTTCGAATCCTTTTGTTCATAAGCATAACATGTATTTAAGCGACATGCAATGAATCCACCTCGACTAATGCCACTACCAGGGTTAACAGGCACCGTTGCTAGAGAAACCACTGGTGATCTATCGCCTGGACTGTCCAGAATTTCAACAGCACCAGAGGTTTGTCTAATATCGAATTGCGTTATAGATCCATTTTGCGCCCCCGTGAAAAATATATTTGGATTGTCACCTGACCAGCAGCAACTCCACAATGGAAAGCTTGTTTGAAATGTGTGCACAATAATGTTATTTTGAATGTCCATTAATTTAGCGCATTTGTCAAAACCGACGCTAAGTAATAACGACTGCTGTGTCGTGTTAAACATAACATCCCTTATAGCTTGAGAATGTAAAAAAATGAATTGACGCGGTTGAAATTTATCCGAGTCGATTTTTTTAATACCGTAACCCGAAAATAACGCGTTTGTTGATTTCTGCGATACAACTAAAAATCCATACCACGGATTATAATCTAGTACACGGCAACCGCCATCCTTACATATCTCGATAGATCGATCTAAATGAAATTTTTTAATCATATGTTTAGAAGTGTTTTCATTGGAATGAAGACTTATTTCTGATTGTTGATTCTCTAGTTCGGATATACGATTTTGCATACTAGACACTTGTTGCTCGAATAACTTTTGTCTGAGAGCATACTTTGATAGCTCCATTTCTATACGATTTTTTTCAGTTGTTACATTGTTCACTCTGTCTTTTAATTTGTCTAATTCAGTAGTATCTATCGATGTTAATCTCTTGGCGTACAACATTCTAATATCTTTCACAACAGCTTTCCTGTTACATTGAGGACAACGACGATTCGCACTGGTACAAGAATTTTGTAACCATTTCAAAATACAACTATGCCCAAATAAGTGACCGCAACGTAAACAACACAAACGATGCTCTCCAGAGCTAGTCCATAGATCCATACATATAGGGCAACATTGATCAGAATCAACTTCAGACTCGTCTGTAGTTGTTTCTTTAGCTTTCTTTGCCTTTGATTCATCATCATCTTCTAAAATATTAGACATATACGTGACATACTACATATCTTTACATAAATTAAATTTACTCACTTATATCTTCCGTCGAAGCTTCGGTTGTTACAATAATGACACGGTTGTCATTACTTTCAGAATTTTCATTATTATCCGTTTCTTCAATATGATTTTCATTCTCTTCCATTTGCTGTGCTTCTTCACCTGCGATCAAAGCTACTATTAATTTACATAATTCTAATGAATTGGTACTTCTAATTTCTTTATAACATGAACAAATACGAAAGTATTTTAATAATTGTTATATTTATTTATGTACATATACAATCCAGTGAAAATTACAACCATGATATTTTACTTATATGCGCTATATGTAATTAGATTATTGTAAACACTTACTGTAATCTATAACCTCCATGCTACAAAAATTTAAACATAAATATCTACGTATGATTTGTAAACATATATGTATATTATTCTTAAACTAACTATGTTTCTTCTTTAAAAAAGATATGTTCACATTCTTGTTTGCAAGCAAAGTAGTACATCACTGACAACAATAAAGTGTTTACGTACTACGAACTTTCCGATTGACCTTTTCGTACGAATGTATCGCATTAATTCGTTTAAAACTCTCTATTTAAACTGGACAAATATAAGATTATTACTTACAGTGTTATTCGGTTTCAATATTAATTTATCTTTGTCAATTTTTGTTTAAACAAATGTATTCATTTCATTGCATTTCTCAGCTGACCGTTGTCACAGAAGTCGTGTACGAGTATTTTTGTAATGTACACAATTTTGTGTTACATTACGATTAAATAAAGAGATATATTATTTCGATTCTACGCTGCAATAATTTCTGTTATATTATTTGTTATTAGAAGGAATAACATAAAATGTTTAACGAGAAACAATTATTTATAAACATTCGTTCTTCGTTTGCATCAACTGGTGTCTATTGTAACAATATATACATACTTTTTTAAACATTTATAATAAACGAATAAACATTCTCACTTTTTATTATTCTAAAATGTAAATAAAATAGGGTAGTATTATTAAAGGTTATATAGTTTACAATATTCGGTCGCCATATGCAAAACAACAACATACACATAAATTTATGATGATCAACGATAATACAGTGTTCGATCACGTTTAAAACATAATTGTATAATACATTTTATTTTAATAAATTGCAAATAAACTTAATATGTCGAGGCTATTATGTAACGATTACAGTTTTTCATCGCTTCGATGTAAATTGCAGCAAGAATTAAATTATTTAAATTATCCACATACCATGGATACAGCTGACACGATCGAATATGCAGCTACAAATAACATAAAAATAAAAGACGCGTGCTTCAGATCCCTTATTCGAAGAAATTGATGGTTCTCCCGAGTAAGTGTCATATTCGGTAAAAAAAAATCTTTCTCAGATTTCATTCTAATTTCTATAACTCTATTAATATATAAATGTATTGTATATTGCAGCTTTGATATCCACAAAAATTATATAAAAAAAAAAACAATTTCGAAAAAATTGTGAAATCGTTCGACCCTATTTGATATCAATACCGATCCTTCACTGAATAATCCAGGGAAAAGAATCGTCGTCTCAACTTACGACACTACTAGAAGAAGCTGCGTTATTAAGTGAAGCAACGGTGTTGTTTCGAAGGTAAAATAATGAAGGTAAAATATTGGCTATTCTTTGGACGTTCTCCGAACATATACCGTATACGGATCTGTATAACAGGGTGTACACAAACTGTTTGTATATATTTTATTAACAAATAATTAATTTCATCTTCACGACTACGTGTACATGAGTTTAACGTGAGACAATGCCTTTGGTAATGCTAACAAATTAATATTCGATATCTCACGCGATACAATTTGTTCGTTTTAGAAGCGGCGACCGTGTACTTGGAACATATCCCGTTCTCCAGGAAATTCGCCGACGCCTCTTCATGCTCGCGAGCTCGACAGCTTCCCTGTTAAAACGAGAAGCTCCCACGATTTGAAGCGTCGCCGTTTACAGCGATACGGCTCGAAATTACAAAAGAAGAGCCCCGACCACAGCGAACCGGGTTTGAAGAGAGATGCGTTCGGTTCGTTGGAATCTCTGTTCGACCTAAAGAAGCCTCTGAATTTGCCGGAAGTGTTCTCGTTAACGGTCGAATGCTATCAAGAGGGGCACGTTTACCGTACATCAGAAAAATTCAATAACAAAAACCTCGTAGAATCTCCATGTACGCGACGCCGAGCGGATCTTGAGCCGCACATTCTCGAACGGGTGTGATTTTGGTATTACCTGTACTATCGATCAGGGTAACAACTTCTAAATAATTCTGAACGTTCGACAGCTTTATGAGGTCGACGATCGTAAAAGTAAACCGGAAGAGACCAGGTACGAGCGAAACGTTGGAACGCCAAGGGAGTCGAAAGAGATCAGAATACCAAGCCCGGTAGAGGAGGCATCGTCAACGTAAACGACATTTAATTTTCAACCGTGTTTCGGTAACGTCGACGTTACTTTTGCCGCTAAATTGACCTAATTTCAGCATGGCTGAAAATGAGGGGGACGCGATACAAGAAGTAGCCGAGGAAGATGTCGAAGATGTTCCTGAGGCAGCTCCCGAAGAAGCTACCGAGGAAGTTACCGAAGAAGTTATCGAAGAAGTTCCCGAAGAGGTTCCCGAAGAGGCTCCTAAAGAAGTTACCGAAGAAGTCCTTGAAGAAGATACGGAAAATGCGGTTACAGACATGCCTCTGGAATATCCGCTTCCTCCTGGCGTTGGCCAAGGTGCAGTTTAACGCAGATTCTTTTACCGATGATTGCAATAGAGTTATAGTATCTGAAAAGGAAGAGAATGCGACATTTAAGTTTGAGTAACTGTAAGACCTGTATAAAATGTTATCACTTATCTTAAATTTTGGTAAACGTGTTTTTTGTCCAGGTGTTCCGATCAAACCTGGTGGCAGAGTAGAGTCCATATTGAGTTCGTCTCCTATAACCGATCGCATTGTGTTAGAAGAAATAAAGAAAGCCGATGAACATTGCGTTAGGCTCGCGAAGGAGATCGAGCAATTAAAACTTGAGATAGCTGAGCTCACCGTGGTAATGCCTCGTGAAATATATCCTTCGGTATTCGTCGAATTTTCGTGTCTCTTTTTGATATCGGTGATTCCTATCACAGAAAAAGAACTTAACGGAAGAAGACACGCTAATGATTCAAACCAAGCAGGATGAAGTAATGACGAAGCTGGCGGAATTTGAGCAGATAACACGAAAGTTACAACGATCGATAGGCTTGACTGATTTCTCGAGCGGCACCTTTTCCAAAATGTTCGATATGCTACCGTATCCGCACACGAAGCCTAGCGGGGTACATAATAACTGTTAAAACGTGTAAAACACGAAGAAAATATTCCTGGCGCGTTGAATGAGTGAGTCATTACCTGAATTGCAGCTTATCGCCGAAGAAGAAGTGGAAATTGGCGTTGATCATGAAATAGATCGTTCGGTGGATGCGTTCGATAAACAAGATGTAAAAGTGCCGAAGGAGAGGCCCGAGGATCTTTTTGATTTGCCTCAAATAGATTATCCGGAAGACAAGTATGTTTATTTATATTTCACGAATCCTATCTTCATATAATCTTTTTATTTTCTTTAATTAGACTTCCGAGAGTGATCGTGTGCGGATACACCGAAGACGAGATCCCAAAAATCGTCGTGGCGGACAGCAAGAAAAGAGGCAAAGACAGATCGCTACAGAATCTGACGGGGAAGTTAACGGAATCGTTGACCATGCAAGAAAAATTGGTGCTAGAAAACGCGCAGCTCGAAGGCGGCAAGTAAGTTACATTTTGAACATCCGGTACACGGCAAGAAATAATAGATAGTCAATGGGAAGAAAAGTGAAAATCAGTTTCCCTGACAACAACGATCGCGCAATCCTTATCGTCGGCAAAATTAACTATGTTGACATAAGCCGGGAGATCTCGCGTCTTTGATTAAACTTACTGTATCCGGTACATAGATATAAATTAGAAGAAGCGTTACTGGAGAAGGATTCTGCGGTCGAGAGCCTGCAGAGGAAGGTATGCGGTCTACAGGCTGAAATGAGAATAATCGTGAAGGAAAACTCGGAATTGACTCGCCAATTAACTTGCTTGAATCAACGAATCACCAGTCCTTGTTGTTACACCTGTCCAGGTGGAAATCTGTCTCCAACGTCAAGCCCGTCGCCTTATCGTTCGTTTTCGTACACCACTACGGTGCAACAAGAAGACGATTACTGTCCGTGCAAGTGTTGCCTTCAGCCGCAATTTGCCGACACTTTGTCACCGCACGGCAATTCCGTATGCGGTATATATCCGTTGAATTTGAGTTCCTAATTATTTCATAACGAGTTACAATTGCTTCGTTAATTACTTTTCAGTGACGCAGAACAGTCGAACGGTGTTGCCTAGTGGAGGTAAGTCACACTGTCTCCAAGTCAATTACCTTCGACAAATTCTACAAGCATGTATCGTTTCGCTATTAACGTTTGATGCAGATTCACCCAGACTCGCGGGCGGCGCGTCGAGAACAAGAGCTTGTACCGAGAGCAGCGTTTCTTCTCAAATCGACGAAATGTGTTGCCGGAGTCCTGCCGCTGCTAAACCACCATGTCCGGGACCACCGCCTAGAGGGACGTGTCCCGCGGAACTGGAGAACCAACTGGCGAACTACAACACCAATAGCAAACAGATAGTACATCTTTGAGATACGACCGAGTTTCGTTTCAAGTTTATATGCTTACGTACTGGTAACAATTTCAGGAACAACAATTAGGTAGTATAGAATGCGAAGTACGTAACATGCAAATGGAACTTGCTAACGTACAGCGTGAACGTCAGCAGCTGGAGCAACAACGTAAGTTGTTGAAATGCACCGGTCCTTGCGCGCCATGTGGCTGTTGTCCTCCGCCACCTATGAACCTTCCACCTTTGAGTTCCCCGTCTTACGTACCGCCTGCACCGATTCTACCACCGCCTCCCGTACCTCTTGCAAAGGTATCCGTACAATATCTTGGTCAATTTCAACGTGCAAACCTACGCAATGAATTGATCGATCGGCACACCGCTTTTCATAAAGATCGTTATGCCTTGGGAGATCGAGATCGATAGCTACCATTCAATTTACTTGAACTTTTAGCCAAGATAAAGAAATGTCAAACGTCACCAAAATTTTGTATGAAATAAACATATTTTTATAAAGATTTCAGGTCGTCTTTTTTTTTTTCTTAAACCGTATAAAATGTGACATTATTCTGTGCGTAATTTATCACTGAAAGTTCATAAAATCTGATTATTTCATATAAGATTTTGCATAAAGTAGCTGGTAAGCGAATGTCGCGGCTCTTATTAAATTATGTACAGTATAATGTAGACATTTCGGGGTTTTTGAGCCCCTATAAAATTATATATTTTAAATCGTATACAGATGCCACCCGCACCTTCTTCAACCTGTACTGGTCCTTGTATAAATGCACCTATGGTAAGGCTGAATTTCAGTAGAAAGTTTCAACATGTATTAAACTATGTATTTGATGAAAGGGCGCTAGCACGTGTCCTCAGCAACAGTTACGTGATCTCCGCGAGCAATACGCACGTCTTCAGGATGATTACAAAAACAAATTATGCGAGGTTTCGTGTTTAAGAACAGATGCGGAGAAAATGAAACAACAAACACGCGAAGCCATAGAAGAAAAGGAGAAACTGGATATTAAACTGATAGACGCTCAAGAGCGTTTAAAGGCTATCGAGTCTGAAAAAGAAAAATACGAAGGTGATTATTTTGAATTTTATCAGATGTAAACCTTGGTAACTAATTACAATTTATTTAACGACAGGTTTCAAGGAACAAATGGTCGAACAGGAACAGCAATTGATCGTGATCAAACAACGTTTCCGAGAATCGCAAGATGAACTCGAAGAATTGCGATCTCTGATCCAAGATCAGTCTGCTCAGCTCGAGGATTATCGTAATAAATATTTACAGGTTTACGCTATCAACACTTAATCTCTCAAAGTTTTTATGTAGGTATAATATGAAAATGACAAATAAAAAAAATAGGCGCAACAACAAGTCGAAGAGCAACGCCGGCAACTCGATCTCATGGAGATGGATAACGCGCGAATGAACGAAAACGTGACGTTAGAAATCGGTCGAGTTAAAGTACGTGATCAATTGTGTGCGTGTGTTTATCTGTAAGTAAACGTTTCGTTGGTTTTGACAGAATCAGTTCCAAGAGAAGCTCGCTGAACTCGCTCCGTTACCGGACCTTCTGAAACAAACGCAAGTGAAGCTGCAGGAAGCGCAACAGATGCGTCTGGTCGCCGAAAGGAACTGCGAGGACCTTTCGCGGGAGCTTATAGGGTGCAAAGATAAAATGCAAACTTTGCAAAATCAGTTGGACGTTCTACGCAGCGAGTATCAATCACTCCAGGTCACCGTTCATTTGTGCTACAGAACGATCAAACAGTTCCGCTTGCACACGATTTATCATAAGATACGATTTGCAGGATGAAAGAGGCACCGGAACAGGTCGGTTCGACGAGCTGGAAAAGAAGAATTCCGAGTTACGGCATGAAAATGAACGCATGAAAAATACGCTTGCCAGATTTGAGGAACACGAGGCACAGTTACAGAAACGCATTGATGAAAAGATGCACGAAGTTACTCAATTAACAGCGATGCTCGAACAAGTACGTTGTTGTTTGTTATCTATACGTAGTCTCGAGCGATATCAATGCACCATTTATTTTGAAGGTTCGAGAAGATTCCGCGAGACAGGTCGCGAGAACAAAAGAGAGGTGCGAGACTATAAGAAGATCGATGCAAGGTCAAATTGCGGAAATGGAAAGACAATTGGCGCAATGCAGAGCTATCGCGAGGGCCGCACAAAAGGATAGAGACGAAGTAAACCCACTGTTAAAAGGATGAAGCACTATGTAAGTACTTGTAAATGTTGACTATAGCTCACACGTTACGTTGCACTTTATAGATCCGGCAGAAGATGCAGGGTCAAATAAATAATCTAAATGAAGCGTTTGAACAGGCTCAAGGTCGCATAAGATCATTGCAGGGTCATGTAAATTATTTGAAAACATCTTATAGCAACATCTTCCACGGACAAGGTGAAGTTCCACCTGGTGTCTTACCTGGAGAGGCTGGGCCAGGATTTGATTCCTGCGACTGCAATTATTAACAGAAAGTTAATCAGTGCCTTATTCGTGTCAAAAATTAGTCTAACAAGTTCAAAAATTGTATTATCGCGCAATCGCGTAAATTGTTTTCTCTACCTGGAACATAACAAAAATTGTCTAAACGACAACCGTTTTGTACTTTGTTCGTGGCCACTCTGCTATAGATAAATTGTCAAAATTAAATTATTATAATACGAAACGAAGCATCTGGTAACAATATAACAATTTCCTCTTTCGACGTATATGTACTTTATTTAATAAATTGTTCATGTAATTTTTATATGCAATGAAGTAGAAGAGGTAAATAAGGAAATTCATGATAGTGCGTACATCTTGACTTAAAAAAATTAAAGTAATGACCTGTACAAGGAAAAAGCACTTATTTAGAAGTCGTATTAGTTCCATTAGTTCATATCGACAGAGTGAAGCATATTGAGCATATCGAGGATTGCATCCGATCGCGATCGTACTCTTTCCATTTCCATACGGAATTCTTCCAGTTGAGACTCGATTCGTCGCGCGTACGCGTGACAGCATCTGTAAATAATTTTTTTAAAATGTATCTCGCTCGTCAGACTTTAACGACGATATGAAAAAAAAAAAAAGAAGTTACCTTTCGTTACATTGTGTTGTATTCGAGCATGATGGTTCGGGCGTAGGGCACCGAGAGATTTTAATTTGGGGAGGAACGTTTGTTACACACGAGGGCCCATTGTGTTGGAGGTTACTTTTACTCGCGCCATTAGTACCTGTGCTGCGACAATCTCCACATCCTCTTAAAAGATCCATAAGAATTCCTCGTACTCTTTTGCCGCTCAATCTTCGTTGCCGCGTCTATGTACAACAAATATAGGTATTAAAACGACATAAAAATATTACCAATACATTTATTAGATAGATTTAATTTTCATTATCTTACTTCGGCAGTTTCATTAGATCGTTTGGCGGGAATTAAAAGGTCGTCCTCGCCCTCGTTGGAAGGACTACGATTATATGTTTGCCTTTCCGAACAATCATGATTATGCATGTTGTTCGAAGAGGTTTTATGCATGTAGGAAGTGTCTTTATGGACACTGCAACATTTCGACGAGTGCGGTATATTATCCGCCATGTTTTGAGGATTTCGATACGTTTTGTTGTACTTGCAAATTATTTCGCTCACTTCGGCAGAAGTGTTCATAACATTTTCGTGTAAATGGCCATTCGATCCAGGCGAGGGCATACTTTTGTACGAATTCCTTCGATTTCCTTTAACGTGATATTTGTCTTTACTAGGAGTGGGATTATCGTCATGCGTTCGTGTTTCATGATACGAGCCGCAGCTACATTCTTTGTCTGCGCGTTCTGTAGGATGTATATTACAGGAATGTAATTTGTCTTGTAAATTCGAGATATTTTTACACGTCGGCCATTCCTTGCGATGTTTCGCGGAATCACATTCTTCGCCAGAAGGGTTGTACGTACTTAGAGAGAAAGCATTACCCGCGTGTCTTTTATCACTTGCATCATTTACTAAGGAAGATGATTTTACTGAATTTGGTGTTAAATAGTGACAACATTGAGAAACGTTGGATCTATTGAATTTCAATGGGATCTGCTTGCTACTAGTTGAACACGCAAGCGGGCTCCCATTAAATCTACTGTGTGGCGTTTTCTGCCAACAAGAACACGTTTTATTTTCAATCGATTTCATACACACTCCCATATCATCTTCGCTGTCGTTCGTAATTTTTTCACCGATTTCTTTACCCCAAACGCTAATCGTGCCATTTATTTCGGACATTCTTATTTCGAGGTTACCCAGTAGATATGGGCCACATTCTTGGATATGATTCTCAGTACCTGATTTATCCTTCAACGGATCTTCCGCTTGAATTAAGAAACTTCTCTTTATGCTATTATTGTCTTCCCTATATACGAAACATTTTACACTTTCATCTTTGTCATTATTTTCTTCTTGATTTTCTTTAAACGTAGAATTGTCAACATTTTTATTAACGGATTTATTCTGTTGTTGATCTATTTTAATACTTGTATGCACCTCCGGATATTTAAATTCCGTATTGATCGTGTCGGAATTACATGTCTTCTCCGACTCAATGGTTGTGTGAGGTATTTTATGTGGCTGAATAATAGCGGAAGTACCAAGCATATCCGTTGCTTTTCGTTTTTTGGAACTTGAAGCGTGAATCGGAGAATTGCAGTTCAAATTTAATAATTGGTCTGTTGAGTTCTCGTTCGTTCGTTTCTTGGAATTTTTTACTAAAGGGCTTTCAACTCTGGTTTTACCTTGTGCTATATTCGAAAGAGTCTGCAATATTCGAGACGAAGTAAGAAATGCTCGAGACAATGGATTTTCTAATTTTCTTGGAGTACCATCAGTGAGTACCATGCTATCATCGGAATTAAGAATTGGTGTTAGATCAGGTGGTTTAATAGATACAGCTGGGCTACCAGCACTCTCTGCCCAATGATCGATAGAACTTATCGTAGATGCAACGCTACTACTGGATATCTTATTACTTGTTTCTCCCGTAGTTACAGTTACTTTTGGTACGATTGTAGGTTCTACGACAGTTTCAGTTTGCACGGCCGCGATTTTCGTTTTACATGCTCTATCTTTGCTTTCATAGTTAGCCAATGATTTTTTAAGAGCGTCTAATTCTTGTTTCATTTTTATGTTTTCTGCTAACGTTTTGTGATAAACATTTTGTAAATTATTGAACTGTGCATCTCTTTGAGAAAGTTGAGCTTTAAATTGAGCTTTAAGTTGAATTATTTCGATATTTTCTGCATTCGTTCCCTCTATTTTACTTACTTTCGCAATACTTAAATTTTCTGATACATCCTGTGTTGTTCTGATACTTTTCACATTCTCGATCTTTAGCGGGCAACTTGTGTTACTGTTTCCCATTTCTTGCACAGTCATCATCTCTACCTCATTGTACACTTCAGGTTCGTTTGCCTTTTCTTGAATCCTGTTTTGTCCAGTATTGGAACTACCATGCATATACTCTTCATAACTTAAAGTACGTAAATTGAGAAGCGTAGGTGCTGCCTGATGACCATTAACTAAAGAAGGTTGGTCCGTGCTATTCAATTTTACATTCTGATCAGGCGTATTTTGATATTCCATATGATGTACTTTAATATCTATGGAACCATTTTGCTTTGTTAATTTGTCATCACAATTTTGTGCACGTGTCTCATTATGAACGCTGCCGCATTTGTTTATTTCGGTATCCTTCTGAATATGTGTAGCTTGGTTTCCAAGTATTCTAATATCAATTTTGATATTATCACCGTTTTCTACTATTTGCGCTGTATTACGAACTGAATTATCATCTTTATTATTTTCATTTTCCTCGCGTTGCAAATCTTTAATAGCCTTTTCTGCATAATCTTTTATGACTTTGTTAATTACTGCTGGTTTTAACGGATCAATGTCGTTGTCTGTAAATAGCAAACAAAATTTATTTCTTATTTGTTATTTGTTAATAATTTTAGAATTTGGTTATACAGATGTATAGAAGATTATTCAATTTTATTCTAGATTTTATTCATTTTTCAACAAATGTGCTTTAATGTATAGATATCTACAATATTTAGCAAACGTATCTTCCAAATCTGAGTACCCAAATTCTAATAAAACGAAGATGATTCTTACTTTCATTTTCTCTGTGCTTTTTGATCGTTACATATTCTTGTTCTTTCATACGTTTTTCCATTGACTTTCTATTTTGTTCTTTTATATCCTTAATATATCGTTTTACTTTGCTTTCGACATGTTGATATTTAGGTGGCATTGTTTGTTTCTTATGCACAACAGGATATGTAATAGGATTGTGATGCAAATTTAAATAATTTTGTCTACTACTATTTAAACTAAACCTTTTCTTATTATATAGAACATTGGTCTTAGAAAAACTTAAGTCCTGTAACGACAAGCTTCGCTCTTTATGGTGTTGCTTTAATCTGTTGTTTAAGATAAAATCATCAGAAGCCCTATCAAAGCATTCTTGATCGTATTCTGTATTTGCATCTTCGTCATCATCATTATACAATCTCAAAGGATTTTCATCATCCTCCTCCTCCTCCTCCTCTTCGTCTTCCTCATCCTCCAACATTACATTTCGATGGTCATTTTCAAGCTCCATTTCATCCATATCTACGATTATAATAATAATCAGTATCTTAAATATTGTTGCATAGTCAAATAATACTTTTGTTCATTACTTACCGTCGCTATCCCCATAGTCATCATCATCATCATCATTATAGGGATGATTACTTTCTTCTCCCGAGGATAATACGTAAATACTGCCTCCTCCTTGATCATCACTGGGATAAGGACTTCGACTGTGGTCCTCCTCCATAGGTATTGTGTTGTGTTGTTTCGTATTATTGACATTTGCATCTTCGCGCCTTGACGGACTCGATACACTGATGTACGTTGGCATTTCTTCGTCTTCTAACATAGGTTCTTCAGTTTCATTGTTTAATATGCTCGCTCCACTTTTCGACTGTTCATTAGTGTGGTTTCCCGCATTCATTTCTGTATCGGTTTCTTCCGAAGTATGCTCGTTCTCCTCCGACATTGTTCAAGTTGATATTGAACACTACAAATATTACGATTACGCGGAACCCTACGACTACACAAACTTTAAAATTATGGAAATATGTATTGACTGTGCACTATTCAGTTTTTATAGTATTTAACGCGTGCGATCATACTTTCTCATCGACCGCCATTACGGTTGCCGCTGATGGTACCTGCATTTCGGTTCGTTCATACATTCTACATCTTTACCAATCTTTTTTATTCCGCGTTTATTTAAACATACCGAAACTTTTTTGTACTAAATAAAATGCAACTAATTGTTATAGACGAAAGCGCGATATTTGCGTCGCAATTAAATACATAATTATTGCGGGACTAATGACCCGCGAATATACAGGGATGTATTTCAAGTTGTATACAAGGGGCACTTGCTCTATATTTTACGTTACATTTTCATTCGTAACATATACTTTCAACATTATTTATTTTCGTTCGTAATGCTGTTAATGCATTTGTGATATTCGCTTTATGGTTTAATACAAGATTTATCACTTTTTATTTAGCGACAATAGGTATACAGGTATGTCGATTATTGCAACTTATGCGCATGCTCTTGTAAAATGGAACAAAAATTTAAAAAAAAAAAAAAAAAGAAACATCGAAGTACTCGATATGAAATATGATTTTTTTTATCAAATTTTGAACAACGAAATTAATACTTTAGCGCGTATGAATTGTACACTACTGACTGTCTGCATCAAAGGAACGTGGAATCGAGCCACAATGTCACTCACATTGTTTCTATGCGCGGTGAATGATTGTTTATTGTAGTCAGAGGCCGGTAGCTAATAATTTGTTATAGTAACATACTCAGACGCAATTTAAAAAAATATGTCTTCTGAAAATAGTGGAATTCCCGTAACCATTGAATTCGGGTAACATTGAAACTTCGATACATAACCTAACTTTCTATGCAGTTGCACTTGATCTAATAAATCAAACGCTAAATAATTCTAGGGGTGGGGCGGAACTGCTTTTCGATAAGAAGAAAAAACACGAGGCGAACTTACCTGGCAACGAATGTAAGTTGAATGAATATTTCTTGATCGTGTATCTCAGTTTACCATGGAAAATTTTCTAGGGACGATACAGAAGCTACTCTTCTGGATAAAAGATAACCTCTTAAAAGAGCGACCGGAACTTTTTTTACAAGGGAATACCGTGTAAGTTGTAAGCTCGTTTGATAATTTTATACCAGTGTTATAAACATTTCAAGTAACCGTTTGAAATGTTGTACCGGAAAAAAAATATTTTCTTTGACATGCGTAAAGTTTACACTGACACGTGTGTTGCACCACCAACACAATACGGTATGTTGTGCTAATTCGCACTTGCCAATTCGACTGTGTGAAAAGTTAAGATGGCGGCTCGTTGAAAAGTGCGGGAGTGCTACATGGGATGGCAGCACGTTTCAGTTTCAACAGATTCTTTGTTCAACAGACTACGGAATTTGTACTAAACTTACTATAAATTCATACTGCAACGACTGACATGTGTTTTTGTTTAAACGTATATGATTTCATCACTATGTGAACGTATATGTATTGTTTTGTGCGTGCAGGCGACCAGGAATCTTAGTTCTCGTGAATGACACTGACTGGGAGTTGTTGGTAAGTGAAACATCATTCGTATCAGAGACGAAGTACTGAACACATTTAACAAATATTGGACAACTGTTTTATACGATTCGTGGGACGTTAGAACTTTAGTTTCCTTATCATTTCAATATTAATTCTATCATTATCATTTAAACGTGAAATAATATTATGGCGCCATTGGCGACAGGAATTAAAACACACAGCCCTATAAAATATTCTACATGTTATTTACCCTTTCAGTCTCAGAAAATATTGTAACAATAAAAGAAAATATTGTTGCTATTCTTCTTTATAGTTTGTTGTCAAAAGTAAATTACCCTAGCAGCTTTTTAAAATTTTTCTAGCCATGTCTATTGTCATATCATAACCTAACATTTTGTATTCTAAGGAAGGAATGATCAAACTACATTTTAAAGTTTAATATCTCTTTATTAGTCTCATGAATTATCTTGATATTTTTGGTTCTTCCTCTTTGGCTGGAAATAAATGGGTTCTCGTTACTAGAAATGAATTTATTGAAATATTATACAGTAGGATCTCGATTAACCAGCTTAAACGGAGGACAGTCCGAGAAGGAAATAATTTGGAATGCATTTTTCGTGAAAAATGAATCATTTATTATCATAAAACACATTTCGCTCTGTAATAATTTTGTGGCGCCGCTTTCCATGCTCGCCGCTAGAGGGCGACCCCTCGCTTGCTATATATTCCTCGACCGGCTTCCCAATGTCTCAGTCGTCTAAGGTAGGACCTGCTAGAAAGTCTTACTTGACGAGTCCAGTAGTAGGCCCGGTCGAAACGCGCCCCTTCCTTTCTATTGTTTCTAGAATACCTTGGTTTATGGTTTGTAGAATTGCTGTAACCTTTGATGGGAAAATAATTAAATATAGATAAACGTAAAAAGGTATATCGCGAAACTCGGTTAATCGAGGTCTTATTGTTTACTTACGCTTCATTAAAATATTCTAAGATTCGTATGTTCATATTTTCAGAGTATATAACTGCTTTGTATACTATAAGAAGCCATTTTAAGTTCGTTGTCAATTAATTTGGTATTATCCGGACGAACAATTCCTTTGTCGCGAGCACACAATACCAATTACCATGTCCCACCGCGAAGAGATATTGCTCGGTGTGAAGACCCAAAGAGAGGTAGAAGGAAAACCAAAGTTCCATCGATCTTCGCGTTTAGTTCTGTTAAGTACTCGCTTAATCAGAGAAAATGAGAGAAAATTGGAAGAGACGCGACGAGGCGGGGGAGATGACTGCTTCCCGGTAGTCGTTGAGGCGGCCAAGTGATTTTGTTTTGTTCAGGGTCTGCGAACAAAGCGAGTCGCGTTCACCGTCGCCGAGGGGGTTAAAAGCGTATAATCCTTCGCGGACACGAAAGAGCATCATCCGGGCTCGTTTCATCTCCGAAAGGCAATAACGCGTTCAGCGTAATCGCGGGCCAACATCTGCGCCCGACATCTGACAAACGTCCGACGAAAGTATCTCGTCGCGAGGTTTTTTCGCGGGTCGCATAATCGACCTATGGGTGTAGTTACCGTAACACCCGCCCGTCGTGGCCGGAGAAATAAGAGAACGACCTCGAACGCGGTCGTGAAAGGGCGCAAATGACCCAAAGGCACGCCACACCCACGGCGAAATTATCATTTTAAATTTGTAAATGTACAAAACGCGAGGCGCTATTAGGATGTGCTTCCTGAAGCACCCTCGAGGAGAAAGAGCCTCGAGAGAAGCGGTTGTTGCAGTAGAGGGGGCGTGGGAGGGCAAAGGGAAGCAGACGCGGGAAAGATGATGGCTTCAGCCATTATTATGATAATACCAACGTTTCTCGAAGCTTCCTCTCGTATGCTTCGACTGCCCTGGCTCCTTGTCCTTTCTTCTTCCCCCAACCCCCCCTCCCCGTTTGTGGTGCCGCGAGCTTACGCGCACGATGTCCTTTTCCTGCGTCCTGGGGTCCCTCTTGCTCCCGTTTTTCGTCGTTTTCGACTCGTAAATTAAGAGGGAGAGCAACCGTCCCCCTGGTCGCGGGCTCGCAAGTTTTTTATCATGTCCCCCCTCGCGTGACTCGTTCGCGATTCGACAAATTCGTCGTGTCGTTCGTAACGTGGGCGTTAGTAGAAAAGAAAAGGGCCTGCTAGTGGGGACTCATCGGTAAAGCTTTCTAGCAGGCCCTGCCTTAGGGTAGTTGAGAAATGTGTATATAGGAATAAGTGGTTGGTCGAGCACTTGCGAGAGAGTTAAGAGCGTAGCCCTCTGTTGGTGAGTACGGGAGCTGACGCCAGATAATCTTCTTTACCGTGTGTCGATAACGTTTTAACGATGTTATAAAAATTTTGCAGGGCGAAGGGAGTTACAAATTGTGCCCCGGCGACAAGATACTGTTCATATCCACGTTGCACGGAGGATAGACGGGGGACGAGCACGATGGCAACGATCGACGAGGAGTGAACAGCCGCGGCTACTCTTCGATTTCCACGGCGTGCTATTGCATCGCGAAGTGGCGCGTGTACGCGTGCACAGTGTCAGAGAATAAAGCGTTCATTCGCACGACGTACGTCTACGATGTTCCACGTAACGACTACATATAACATTACGGCTGACACTTTGGCCGTTCTCCAAGTATCCCCGTATTATTGCTCTCTTCTTTGCTCCATCTTTTCCGGCTACGCGGCCAATGGGCCATATCCTGTCCCTTGTTTCCAACGGTTCGACGTCGCGGTCCTACTTCGCGTACTTAACGCTCGCGATTTTCACGCTCGTACGGAGCTTTGCATGCATTACCTCGTAATTAACGTAGACGGAGCGCGATAGAACGCCGGTGCACGGTAGTAGCTCGCGAGTCGGTTGTAATTCAATTCCCCGGTGAACGCAAAATTTAAAATCCCCCGGCTCCTTTCGCGGAACTTCCCCCGTTCGCCGATAAGAATAAAATGAACTTCGGGTAATTGTGCCGGAAAATTAGTTTCAATGCGGCTGAGATTGCGCCGGGGCCGCGATCGGACTCGTCGAAATTTAGTCGTACGACGTCGCTGCGGGTCTGTTAAAAGCGACCGTTCGCGCTGCGCCCGAAGTTCACGGGAAAAAAAATCTTTTCAAGAAAAAATGAGAAAACTTTCCGCGAGCCCTGAATAATTAATTACTGGCCGGTAGTTCCTCCGTGGTACACGATAGAGATCTCTGTCGAAGGTCTCTCGAGTTACGCGAAAGTTAATCAACTCTGTTGCGCGATGTCCGCGATGCTTCTTCGCCCCCCATCGATCGCTCCGTCGCTTTTAACATCGGTACCGCATTCCGGTTAATATTATCCGCGAGCGGCCACGCAACCGTGAACTAGATTTCACGATATCGGAGCCAATCAGCCGTTAAGGGATCGATGGAGGCGTCGCCTTCGTCGTATAATAAACCGACGAGAAACAGTGGCACCAATTAATCGTTCGCGCGTACCTCGTGGCAAATGAATGAAAACCGTCTAACGATCATCGTCGTTCCTATTACTCGTGTGCGTGCAACACTCGTTACAGTCGGCCATTTTCGACGCTTGATTAAATTGATAATTTCTCTGAACTATCGTCTACCAAAGTTCAAATTAATATCTTCTATTTTTTAACGTTAATACGACCTTCCCATTAGAATAACCTTTCTCTTTCAGTATTCGCACCTTTCCAATGTCTTCAGGGCTTAGTCGCGTTACGTGTTCCCTGTATTTTGTTTCATCGTCGGTTCTTTCTCCCCGTTTTCTACAATATAAGCTCACCTCCGTTATATTCGCCGCCATGGAACGGAAAACAATATCATGCATAGTCAAACGGAAACAATAAAGAACGATGCGACTATTCAAGCGTCGAAATAAAATTGGCTTATCTTTTCCCGTCGCGAAAAGCGTTGTGGGGTCCATCGACTCTCGTACTCGCCACCAGAGGGACCGTACCTCTCGCAAGCGCTCGACGCTTATGCACATTTCTGGTGTCACATTAGATTTTTGGTAAGGAATTTTTTTTCTCGAAAGTGCGCAGGATTTCGGGGCTATGTGTATTGACCATAAATGATTGTAATTAACCCCCGCAACTAAATATAATTTTTTCAAATCGATTCGACACTGCAATTTCGTCGAAAAATTTCTCTATCTACTGGAATTTTTTTCTCGAAAATGCGTAAGAATTCGAGGGTATGTGTATTGACCAAAAATTATTGTTATTGACTCCTTCAACTGAAAATAATTTTTGTAGAATGATTTGAAACTTTGCAATTTTGTCGAAAAATTTCACACCTTCTCGAATTTTTTTCACGAAAATCGATAGGATTTCGAGGGTTCGTCTATTCACAAAAAATGATTGTAATTGACCCCTTGAACTAAAAATAATTTTTTTAGAACGATTTGAAATGTTTTAATTTTGTCGAAAAATTTCACAACTTCTCGAATTTTTTTCTCGCAAATAGGTAGGATTTTGAGGGTATGTCTATTCACCAAAAATGATTGTAATTGGCCCCCGCAACTAAAAATAATTTTTGTAGAATCGTTTGAACATTTTTTTTTTCTCCGAAAGTTTAGGCACCTACTCGAATTTTTTTCTCGCAAATAGGTAGGATTTCGAGGGTATGTCTATTGACCAAAAATGATTGTAATTGACCCCTTCAACTAAAAATAATTTTTTTGGAATGATTTGAAATGTTTTAATTTTGTCGAAATATTTCACACCTTCTCGAATTTTTTTCTCGAAAATGGATAGGATTTTGGAGGTGTGTCTATTCACCAAAAATGATTGTAATTGACCCTCGTAACCAAAAATAATTTTTCCAGAATGATTAGAAATTTTTCAATATAATTTTTTAATAACTTTCTAACGAAATAGATAGAATTTAATTCGTGCAGTGTGAAACGGTCCGGGTCAATTTTTCATCGAGAAAATGGTACCCAAACATTGTGAAAGCCGGAGTGTATCTGTATTTCGCTCACGAGTACAATGCATTTTCAGCGGGAAACGCATGGGGATGCGAAACGCAACCCCCCGTGAACCTGAGTGTCCCGATCGCTAATGGTTCGCCGGGGTTGGATGGTCCAGTGATTAATTGTGTCAGCCATGATTACATTACAGAGGACGCAGATCCACTATATTATATACGATCGTACATGCGTGTATCCCGCGGCCGGTACGTTACACGTGCGTCGAACGCACTCGTGCGTGTTTAGGTGGATGTCGGAGGAAGACGCGCTTGTACCTACGGTATCAGTCTGCAACTAACCGGCCCTAACGGTGAAAACGCGTTGGGAAAACATTCGACGACACCGACCGGGCCTGGAATTGCAAAGCGGGCATGCATATTACAGGAGTACCGGGTTTCTGGATCGCGACGCCGTATCACGGGGTTTTCCTCGCGGCCATGAAATTTTGATGGCTCGCGTCCGTGTTTCTGTTTGGATAATTGAAGCGCCGTTCGATCACCATGGTCAGCGAAAACCAATTTCTGATCGCGATCGGTACGGGAACGAGCAACTTATCGGGCCCCACGAATCCATTTTCGGCCAATTTGCGGTAATCTCAATGTACATTCACGAATAGTCGAATTCGATTGCAAGCATCGAAAGCCATAGACGTTCGAATTAAATTTAATTTCACGAATTGTTACCTTTGCAAGACTTTTTCCACGTTTCGTTGTAAATCAAGCCAAGGAAACGGCAACGAAAAAAGAGAACTGGTTCGTTCTTGTTTCGTAGCCGCGGAACCAAGTTTATACACTGTCCTCCGACGGTATTTTGTTGGTTTCATTGTGGCCAGCGCGGTGTAAATACAGTAGAAATTCCTGTTTTCACAATTCCGCGCGGAGGTTATTTTATCCGGCGAGAAAGGCGGCGAAATCTTAGCTTGGTAAATCGCTAGAAATTGCGCGCGGGCACAACAGCCTGTCGCGATTAATTTGTTAACAAAAATTCAGAGCGATTACGAACGAAATAAAAAAGGTACTGGAAAGGAACGTCGACTTATTAACGCCGTTGGTAATTCCATTAAAAGTTTTAATGGGATTACGTCCGAATTTCAACCGAATTGTTTTCCTACGATGCATCGAGTCATCGAGCATAGTTAAAGCGTTGACTGCCGGACGAAATTAATTGGAAACTACGCGAACTAAAATTTATCGTAGCATTTCGTACTGTTAAATTTATTTTCTTAATGGAAAGTAACTGGTTGATCGAATAAACGTCCCAAACGAATCGATGCACGTTCGATTTTATTTATCACCTGTTGTACGAATAAAATTTTTCTTGTTTCTGTCTCAACCGCTTAACGAGACGATTCGAACGAACATCGAGGAGCACATTGGATTACTAGAAAATAGATTTTCCGGGAAGACAATATCGCCGTCGATACCAATCGTGCAACCCTGGCGCGTCTTCGAGACCATACAAATCGATGTTTTGGCTCTCTCGACCGAAATCCGCTGGAACAAAGTGAAAGAAGAAACCAAACGGAACGGGGAATGTTTAAAGAACAAAAAGGAAGCTCATTTTTCTCATTAATGAATTAAGGATTTGGTAGAGTGGACATTTTGATTCTATTTGACCCCTTTTTGTAATTTCCAGAAGCGCGGGAGGACGTTGGTGTGAGGTCCATTACCATTGTTTAGAGAACAAAAAGGAAGCTCATTTTTCTCATTAATAAATTAAGGATTTGGTAGAGTGGACATTTTGACTCTATTTGACTCCTTTTTGTAATTTCCAGAAGCGCGGGAGGACGTTGTGGGGTAAATTATGTCCTGTAGTCGCCACCAGAGGGACAGTTCTTCTCGCAAGAGCTTGATCGACTCCCAATTACATTGGTATTTTGCAAATTTTACGACGCACGGCCTGTTCACGCGCAGTATCTCTTCGAGGAAATTAGGACGGAGGACGAAACCAACCGACATCGAAATTAGGCGCGTCGAGGGAGCCCGATGGTCGCGAAGATGAGATCAGGTCCGGGGGTGTGGTATCGTCGGGAATTAAAGTTTCTCGTCGCCGCTAACGGTTGTTTCACTTTGAAACGTAGGGTATAATTTCTGTTATCTTCGAGCGACGCGGCGGCGGCCGCGGTGCCGCGAAATATAAAATAATAAAGGCCAGACCCGAGGAGCACCGGCGGCCGAGAACTTTGGCTATTACAATGAAACAGCTCCGCGCAAACGCGTCTTCAACTTTTAACGGCTCGTCCTTGTTCCTTTGTGGCCCCACCCCGCGATCCTCATTTCCCTTCGCTATCGCGAATTTATTTCGCCCCGGCGATGGTGTTCAATTGTATTCGGAAAAGGGAATCGACGAAAAGGGAAGGCCTCGCGAAACGATTGCCCAAAAGTATCCGTATCGGTTCGTAACGAGATCGAGATACTCGCTAACTTTTAACTTTCCGCTTCTCCGTTCCCCTCCATCCCCCCTCTTTTTACCTTTTTCTCTCTCGTTGAAAATTACTAAGTGCTTAGTCGCATAATTACATTCACCCTCTTTCCTCGCGAGCACCATATTTATTTCAGTTTACCGCCGTCTCGCCATTAGAGTACTAATCCACTTAATTTCATCCTA